TAACATCCAGCAATGCAAATACAATTATTGAATACACTTTGCGTATTTTAACTTGAAAGATACGAACTAACAAACACGGAAAAAATTCTTCGTTTTATTTTTTAAACATATATAAGGAGATTTTAATATATTTCATATTCGAGGGGATTTCAATGTACTTCAAAGAATCAATGAAATTGAAAATGCTACATTATAGGTTTTTTAAGGTAAATAAGCTCGATTGAACGAGCCATTAATCACGATTGTATTCAAACTTTGAACAGCCCTATCTTAACCAATTTTGGTCTTACAGAAAAACAAAAAAAACTTGTTCAGAAAAGTAAAACCTATATTTTTTTACTCTTCAATATTTTTGTATCACTTAGTTAAGCTATTTAGTTATATAAACTATTTAAAAAAAGGCATTTTTTTCAAAATGTCAAAAATTTTTTTACTTAAAACTAATTTTTTTCAAAAATAATCTCTTTGAATCGGCCAAACTTACAGATCATATAAACAATACATAATTGAAGTAAATTGTAAAGCGGTAAAGATTAATTTCATTTGGGGTGCTAATTAGGTGCTGATTTTCACGGCGTTTTTACCAAAAAAGACCTACTTTAGTTTTGATGCCAGAAACTAAGAAAAAAATTGCTTTTTTTAAAGACTTTCAAAAGGTTTTTGTGGGTTTTCCCCGAAAAGAATTTTTTGGTTATTTCACGTTGAAATATTCGATTTGAATTTGATATATAAGCCTACTTTTCATAACCTACTTTTTATGATCTACAACTCTGCTTCTACTGGTTCTACAGACTTAAGCTACATTTTTACTAAGAATATTTTTTTCGGTAAAATACTTACTTTTTGATTTATTTGTGGAAAACCGTCTTAAAACGTTTTTTTTTTTGAAAAATAAACATTTTCACTCGCACATAACTCAAAAAGTATTAGACTTTTTTTCACCCCCGAGAAGGGATGGCTTTCATCCCCCAAGTAAAAGCAACCCTAAGTCCCTTAAGTCTAAAAGTGACGAGTAAAATTACACTCCTGGGCCCGTATTTTCGAAACCGTTCGAACGGAAGTCGTATGCGAAAGATGATGAATTTCGAACGAAAATCGATGATTCGTATTTTCGAGTTGATTTCGAACGCATCGTGTACGACGATTTTTGTACACGACTGCTCGAGTGGGTATTCACCATTCGAATAGCGGTAAACACACGGAGTTTGACATTTCTGACTGTTGCATTTAGTTTGGTGTTTGGTTTTTAATTGTTTACATAAGTGAGATGGCCGGCCTAAATTTTTTAATTGAAAGAAATGTTTTAAATGCCTTAGAAGATGTAGAAATCTTAGCGAATGTGGAGAATAGAGTATACCATCCATTTTTAAACCCTCTTGAAGCCTTATCAGACAAACAATTTATAAAATTATACCGATTAACAAAGCCTCTGGCACAGGAACTAATAGAACTTTTGGAGCCCCACTTGGTACCTCCATCTAGGGCATCTGCATTAAGCATACCGAGAAAGGTAAGTATAACAAATATTTTTAATTCGACATAGGTATATTGTGAAAATGTTCCCCAAAGCACCCTCCGCTTTGTTCCTTAAGAATAAGCATCCGGGCCAAGTATTTTACATAGAGAGTAATAAAATTGTTTACCTACAATAATTTTTTGCAGGTTTTCACAACATTAAGATTTCTTGCTAGTGGTAGCTATCAGTGGGACATAGCTAAAAATATGAATCATGCTATTTCCCAGGGAACAGTATCAAAGGCAGTTCACGAGGTGGTAGAAGCTCTTAATCTTCCAGAAATTTTTAATGAGTATGTACATTTACCACGAAATATGGAGGAACTTCGTATTTTGAGAGATCGGTAAGTAGGTACCTACATTGAAATAAATTTATTTTTCTACTCATTAATGTAGAAGTAGGCTAATATAACATCGATTTCACTGGATGAAATTGCATTTCTTCCTCTAGTGGAAAAAGTAAAACAATGCCACAACAATTTTAACTCTGTAAAATGTTATTTACTTTAATAAATAAATAAATTCATAAAATTTAAATGTTGATTTTTAGATTTTATAGGGAGTACAACTTCCCAGGAATAATTGGATGTGTGGACTGCACACATGTGGCAATAACGGCTCCAAAACAGGGAGAGCAATACCCTGAAGAAGTTTATGTCAACCGTAAGGGATACCATTCACTCAATGTGCAGCTAGTAAGTAAAAGCTAAAATGTAATGAGAAAAAAAACTGATACTCTTATAGTTTGCCCAAATTTCTGTTGGTATGAAAGCTTATTTAATTGGTAGCCTTATATTTTTTTCATTTTTAGATTTGTGATTCTGATTTAAAAATTCTAAATGTCTGTCCCCGATATCCAGGCAGCTGTCATGATAGCTACATTTTTAACAATAGTGCAGCTTACCAGTATATAAGAAATATACATAATAATGGCTACAGATCTTTTTCTTTCTTGGGTAAGTAAACAATAGCAATGTTGTACTATAGTCATTGTCATTATATATCTGTCTTTTAAAATAATTTAAAACTCTTTTGTTCTTCTGTAAATTTAGATTTAAAAAAATGCAAATTTGTACACAAGATTTATTTTAAAAAAATAATTTTTAGCTCCTCTCCTTAAATTTAACTGCACGCCTGAAAAAAACTTTTTAAATTTTTAATTTTATATAAAAACGTTAATATAGTGAAGTCAAAATATTTAAATTACCATGTTTTTACCTAAATGTTTTAAAAAATTAGTCCCTTCCTCAGTTTCTTTGCCCCTGTAGAATTATTTAAAACCTCCTTAAAATGTGATTAACTGCAGCCCAAACAGCAACTTCCCATCAAATTTCACTCACTTCACCCAATCAGACCAATAGATTTTTTTTTAATCAGAGCATCTTTTTTGAGTTTGAAACAATCACAGAGGCTTTCCATGCTAATGAATTTGTATGGTGAAGCAAAAATTATATTTTTTTACAATTTCATTATTTTTAGGTGATTCTGGGTATGCTCTAAGGCAATGGATGCTGACCCCAATTCAAAATGCATTGGCAGGGACTCCGGAAGACAACTACAATATGCATCAAAAGAGAACTAGGTCCATTATAGAAAGATGTAATGGTGTACTAAAGACGAGGTTTCGTTGTCTTTTAAAGCATAGGGTGCTGCATTATGATCCAACGACAGCATCAAAAATAGTCAATGCCTGCACAGTTTTACATAACATGTGCATTATAAATAATGTGCCTAATGTAGAACTTGAGGATGAAGAAGACAATGACATTGAAATTGATTATGGGATGTATTATATTGATAATAATATCAATGAAGTGCAACAAGTTAGAAATCGGGATCTTGTAGCAGGAAGAAGATTGCAAGAATTACTTGTTCGAAACCATTTTAGAAACTAAAGTAATAAAAAGTACAGAGGATCAATATATTATTGTTTTAAACAGTATATTTACCCTTTTCAAGTAATAAAAATAAATTTATTTTAAGTTTTTTTTTATATAAAAAAGGTGTTTATTGTTATTGAATTAATAAATGAAAAAAAATTAATCTTCAGTTTTTATTTATTTCAACTACATAATAAAAAAAAGTTTTACATAAATATAAAAAAAATTATCAAATAATAAATCTAATGAGGAACAGAAACGATACTTCTTACAAACTAAAAAAACACCTATTCTATGTGATTCAGTACACAATTCAGTATCATTCGTAATTTCAGTTAAGAATTTTTTTCAATAAGTTTATTTACCAAGAGGTTTAAACTATTGGCAATGGATTCCTTCGCCTTAACCTCTCTTTCATACAGAATCATCTTTGATTCCTTAGCCTCCACACTTCTTTTATATATATTAAGTTTTTCCCTATAGTATTTTTCCTTTCCCTCATTTCTATTTGAAGCAAGGTCCAAAAGTTGCTTGTTTGCTTCCAAAGCTGTACTAAGCCTTTGAATCCTGGTCTTTTCTTTTTTTGATGTGGAAGGTGTACAAATAATACCTTTTTTTGATGTGGAAGGTAAAAAAATACTATCTTTTTTTTTCTTCGCAACACTGCTTTGGGATGTAAAACTTTCCGATGCTGTTCTCTTTGCTGACAATTGTTCAGTATCACCTTCATTACCCTAAAAGCATAGATTATATGATTAGTGGTTCAACAAATGGAAGGTAATAATAAATGAAACAAAGTCAACTTGAGTCACCTTTACAAACCGAAGGGGTGCATGTCCCACAATAACATTAAACAATACACAGTTACCAGTCAGCACTCAAGTTAAATACTTGGGATTAACCCCTTGATAAACGATTAACATGTAAACTGCACATACAAGCCAAGAAAACCCAGATTAACATTAAAATAAGACAGATGATCTGGCTTATAGGTCGAAAATCAAAACTCACCACTAAAAATAAGCTGCTCCTATAAAAATGTATATTAAAACCTATTTGGACTTATGGTGTCCAACTCTGGGGTTGTTCAAAGCCATCAAACATTAAGATAATAAAAAGAGTCCAATCGAAAATTTTAAGAATGATATTCAATGCACCCTAGTATGTAAGCAACAAAACCCTACACAAGGACTCCGCCACCCCTTTGGTAAAGGAAGAAATTTGACAAATCATAAGAAACTACCTTGCTGGACTAATGGATCATCCAAATAACAAAGCAAGACTACTAAATACCCCTTCTGGATTTGAAAGATGACTGAAGAAACTGTCGTCAATAGACTTGATAAATTAACTGTTTATGTGAACTAATGTAAAAGTATATTATAGGAGAGTTGCCACAGTCCAGCTTCTCCCTCATGTGTTCAACATTCACACCATTTACTTATATCTTCATGAAGCAGATTGTAAATTAAATTGTGGGTTAAATGAAAAAAAAAATATGATTAATATGGCGATAATAACAAAAAAATACAAAACTGAGAAAAGTGGATTGTTAAAAAACCATCATTCCACAAAAAATTACATTTTGTAAAAAAAGGAAAATACCTTACCATTTCAATCTCATATTCCTCTTTTGCATCTTCATCCAAATTTTCATCACAATCATTGCTGAAATGAAATGAGGTGGCAGATTCTGCAACTAAAGGGTCACCCTCAACTATTGCAGTCCCTAAGATTTCAATAATTTTTAGGTCTTCCTCAGTCATTTTGACATCTTTAATGGGTGGTCCACCTCCAGTTTCCACTTGGGAATTTTTAATTTTTGTGTTTTTTCTTTTTGTGTTAGATTTCATATCTTGCCATGTCTAAAATAAAACAAATAAATCGTAGGTACATTTCCTTTTGATTTTGTATAAAAACTATTATAAAATATGAAAAGAGATTAGAAATTGTGTTTATGGGAATAAGCCACAATAATTGTAATCAAAATTACATTTTTTACATTGACGTTTCGACTTCCAAACCGGAAATTATTCTCAAAATGTTAGAATTTACCTGAAATCAAATCTACATGAAAAGAGATGTTTGCATTACAAGGGGCTATTTTTTAGTTTTTATGCATGTTACAATAGGTATCAAGTTATACTTATCTACATTTTGCTTTCGTTACTTACCTTACGCCATTGTTTCCACTCTTTCTTTGCTCCTGGCAAAGCATTTAATATTTGGCTTAATGTCTGCCACATTGTTTGGGCAGTTTTATATGTAAAATTGTTTGTAAATTTCCCACTTTTTAAATCGGGATTTTCTTCCATAAAATTTATCAGTTCTTTTTTTTGTTCGGAAGATACAAATCCTCCGAACATGGAATTTTTATTTTCTTTGTCCATATTGAAAACAGATAAGAACGAAAACACAAGCCAAAACACGTTAACACTGTAGAAAATTGAGCAAATCACAAAAAACTAAAAACTTCAAGTCTGCTGCAACAAGTAAAATAAACATAAACTTGTCAGTCAAATAAATGTCGCCTGTCACCTCTACCTCTTCTTTTCTTAATTTCGTGCGAATTTGCGGCGTTGCCGGTAAATTTGAGTAAACGGATTCTCGTATGCGAATTAAACTTTCGAATTGCGTTCGAAAATACGCTTTTACGTTCGTGCACGATTTTTTTTCATTCGAACTAATCGCATGCGAGTAAATTCGAACACATTCAAAAATACGACCCCTGGCGTACTGACTGTGCGGTTTTGAAAGAACTAGATCTAGGAACTATGTAACATTGAAATCAAAGATATCGGCTTTACATTAGAATTAAGGGGCTATTAGGCTTAGCTGAATATGTGAGTGTATTTGTCTCTCTCATAAACTATTTTTATTTAGCAACCTATACTTTCCTAATAAGAACAGTTAGTACTCATAAAAACTAATAACAGAAATTTATTTTTAAATCTTGCATCGTTCAATCATTTTTTAATTTCGGATAAAATTGTGTCTCAATTTAGTACATAAAGGTATTGTTTGTAGATTAAAATGTTCACTTTCTTTTTTATTTCACATGTAGACTTACCTAACCAAATCGTAGGTAGGTACCTCTCGGGTAGTAAAGAGGAGAAAACTGTACATGTGATTATTGTGTTTGTTAGATCAATGAACAATACAACAAATAGAGGAAACGTCGCATATTGTTAACCGTTACATGGCACATTTCATTCACGCCTTAAAAAAGGTTGCTTTCAGCGTTCAATGATTAATTCAATTATTAATCGTTGTAAAATAAAGAACTAATAGGATCTTTACTTGATGGGAATCCATCATTATATAAAATACATAAATTCAAACTGTATTAAAAAAATTCTTTGACTTTTCACTGTCGCTTCTTCAGATGATACAACTAAGATAAAACTGAGAAATAAGTCTATAGGCTTTCGCGGCCAGTATTTTGTAGAGGTATATTGTTATCGAGGGTTATATGCCCTGTTTCGGAATTGCTTCTTCTTGATATTTTGTCTGCAACTGTTACATATATTATTAAATGCTATAGAGAAGCAACTATGATAGTATAATTAGACGAAAATACAAATCCCATTCCCATTAACGAGAGGAGTGAGACAAGGATACGTAATATTGCCAAAGCTTTTCAACCTAGCCCTAGAAGACGTCTTCAAAACTACAAATTTTTCAACCTATGGCATTAACGTTAATGGCAACAAGTTAAACCACCTCAGATTCGCTGACGACATAGTGATTATAGCGAGCACATTCGAGGAACTGCAAATTATGATGAGGGAACTAGCAGGCAGCTCCCAATACGTCGGCCTAAAAATTAATATCGGCCTAAAAATAATGACAAACACAGATGACCCCAGACGTATAACTATAAATGGCAGTGAGATAGAACAAGTCCAGGAATATATCTACCTAATCCAAATCCTGAAACTTGACAAAGAGAACCAAAATGCGGAGATTACTAGAAGAGCAAGACTAGCATGGCAGGATTTGGAAAACTTGTTGGATAATTAAGAACCGCAAACTACCCCAATACTTGAGGAGCAAAGTGTTCAACCAATGCATCCTACCGATCATGACATATGGATGTCAAACATGGATCAAACCAAGGAAAACATGAATAAACTAGCCACAACAGAAAGAACAATGTTAGGTATACGACTGTCAGATAAAAGAGGAACGACTGGGTAAGATCAAAAACTCAAGTCGAGGACATAACAAGATAACAACAAAAATTGCCAAACTTAAATGGAGATTCGGGGGCCACACTGCTAGACAAAAAGACCAACGTTGGAATACCACAATACAACATTGGAGACCTTAAGAAAGTAAACGACCAAGAGGAAGACCACAGATGAGATGAGTTGATGACATTAAAGGAATAGCCGGAACAAATTGGAAATATGTTGCTCAGGATAGAGACCGATGGAAGGAGTTGAGAGAGGCCTATGTCCAAACATGGACGATATAAATGAACATGTGAAGTACCCGTGTGGGATTATTGGATCCTCTTCAGGCTAGTGTTGAATATGTTGTTTGTAATGGACAGAAGCAAAACAGGCCGTGTGTGTGACTGTGGTAATCTTGGAGGCTGCTGAGATATAGTCACTGAATCAGAGGCGAGAGGCTTGTCTGGATTTGGTGTTCTTTCCAGAAAACAAGTGTGTGTATGCTTTGAGCTAAATGCGACAGGACTGTGTGTCTAGTTACTATTGTTCCTCTAGCCGTTTTTACATCTACACCCAACTTCAAAACTAGTGTATTGCACTAAACTTTTGTCATTGGGTATTTTTGTTAACGGCCAGGCCTCGTCAGCTTTCAAAAACTACCATTTCGATGTTACTTAGGCTCCGTCAGTCGCCTAGAATCTTCCTCGAAAATATGCGCTATAGGTAGTCTTGTATCTCCTGGAATCGGTTGCTATTTATTCGAAGCAACCGAGAGGTTCCAAAAGACACACGACGGCTGTATATAACTCAGATATTCAAAGAAAATCGAATCAATATGGTGGTCCTGGTACAAGAAAAATAAATATCATGGCTTAAAAATCTTAAGACAATGGTACGGAAAATCGACTACGTTATTATTTAGAGCTGCTTTCAATAAAGTCATGATAGCGAGTATGGCAGCCAACATGATATCCAACGATCGTTATCGGTCATGGAAGTATAAAAAGAAAAAGTGTTAGCAACAATTATATAATTATAGTAGACATATTATAATTACACTTCTTTTTAGTATGCATGATCATGCCTTTACAATAATCTTTAAGTCTACTATAATTTTCATAACCTTTAGACTGTACCAAACAAATTTTTCGTAATTAATTTCAAAACGTTTTTATTTGGTGCCGGAATTATGGCTGTTAATACAACAGAATACATTTCAATATAGCGCTCCTATCGTACAATACATCAATCACTTCAATTGTTGCATGTAAACATCTGAATTACTGAACACTCCCAACAAAATTATAACCTCGACTGTGAACTATATACTTGACATTCTATGTTTATATTACTTTTCAAAGAGATCTACTACCTTACAGATGTCTCTTTGTACCCTTGAGTTTTGCTGGTACTCCCGAATTGGTTTTATATGGATTTCTTGTGGACCATGTCCCAGCAGAGATAGAATACGCTACTGGAGTCGCCTCTCTGGCCGCTCTAGTTGTGTTTGTACTTATAAGCTCAGAAGAATTACTCATTTTTGAGCTCTCTTCTGTTTTTTATCTCGTCGTCCATATTTGTTCCCACGAGTTAGGATGAAATACTGTCAGACTGAGAAGAGTGTTCTTACCGTACTAAATCTATAAACCCCCAGAGTTCGCCAGTTCTCTGAAGATCGCTTAAGACAACAGTTTTTCCCCTGTACCAAGCATCCCCTGGGCTTAATGGTTTGGCACGGGATTGGCGCAGCTACTCAACAGCTTGTCTTGAGATAACTTGCAGCACTGCTTTGCCCAGTGGAAGTCTCGCATGGAACGGTGTAGGAATGCAGAAGGGAAGTATGTTGAAATGGAAAAAATGTAAAATGATAAAAAAGAGTAGATAGTATAAAAGGTGTCTCAAAATACACGAAAGATTTGAATTTGCAGTCATTTGTGCACTAAAGGGTTAACAACAACAATGAAACTTCCATACAAAATATCGTTGGAATATTGATTTAACTTCGGCAACTGTGAAGAGAGTAATTGAAAAATTCAGGGAGATTGGATCGTTGGTGACGCTAAACACACTGGTCGTCCAAAAAAAGCCACAAGCTATGGATGAAATAGGTGTTGATGATGATGATGCTTGTGTGAGGCATATTGCTCGACAGTCTCCACATAGTATTTGATCTCATTTATAAATGTGCATTATTAACTTGTTTTCCCAACTTTTGTGGATCGTTTCTATTCCCTACGTTTCTTTTAGTATATTTCTTTATAAGTGGCATAAGAAAATAATTTTAGAACCAAATTCCGCATATACTGTTTCTGGACTCAACGATTTAATTGATTGATTGGGTTTTTTAGTAGTTTAAAAATATTTTTATTCGATTCTTGCAGTTTATATTTTATAATTTTGGTGTTAATGCATTTTGGATTACTTGGGCATATAATTCTTGGATATACCTTCACGAGGGCATTGCTTTTCATTTCGCCGGCTAACTATTCCTTTCCTGCTTCTCTATATTATGTTTTCTTTCCATTTTAATTTCATATCTAAATATCGTTGTGCTATTTACATGTTTCACTTCTCTGATTCTAGTGGTAGGTCTCCTATTTTCCGTTACTGGTTTCAAAAAAAAGTTGAATATAAAATATGAACTTACTTATTAAAAAGCACATGGCTATGTGTGTGTTTGTGTGTGAGTGATAATTATTCAACGATTATTCTTTACATCGAAAAGGTGTAGTAAACATACAGTCGTAGGTGTACGCCCATTTGTTATATAAACTATAAACGTGCTGTTTACTGATTCGACTGTCGGTGCGGTTTTACACTTCGACAACTTTCTTTTTTTAACGTTTTCTTATTTATATATTCAAGGTACAGGTTGTCCACTTATGTCACTTATCACGTGTTCAGTAAGCTAAAAAAAAAAACAGATGCAAAAAATTACTCGGCCAATTATCTGCGTGTTCAAACATTTCCAGGTTGTTTAATGAAAGATATGTGAATCTACGATCTAAAAATCCGGACATGAATCGGAGACTCTCTCAGATTTCGGTACAGTATCGTAAAATTCATTGCCGTGGAACTAAAATAGAGAAGGAATGTCGGTATATCAGGTTGATATGGGAACAAATACAAATCTACAATGAAGATCCACAAGTATTTAAAACAAAGTGCCAAGGTGCGAAAACCGTACAAAAGGTTTCAAAAGGTACACAAAA